TAGCATATTGAAAATACTACCCAGTAAAGGGCCGTTTGCAATGAGAATGACTAATAAAGTTTTCAGTAACACTGGAGGAAACTTAAAATCCATTCTCTGTTAAAATGCCCCTATTTTAGGAAGATAGCTGTCTCCCTGGGTAGGCACTACTATCACCCAAATTCCCCTTTCACCCACTTGTCATTTTGTCTGCATTACCTGATTCCAGTAATACCTGTCCATCCTCACTGCAGATGTAACTGTTTACATTTTGGGGCTCGGGTAAAGCTGTCCCTAGAGAAGTGGGTCACTCTGGAATGGTCTAAGAGGGAGCCTGGTCCCTAAAGGAGTCAACGATAGGGAACTGGTTTCCTGCTGTCGTCATTCAGAAACTGCCCACAAGTCTGAATGCTGTGGTCATTTTACCTGCTAAATATGTAACCACTAAAAGTTCTGTTTGCCCAGTCAACTTGACTAGGATGGGAAACCTGTCAGTATTCGGTTTCTCATTTATGACTGGGATCCAGTAGAATAAATATTTCTTAGGCCTGTAAAACAGTACAGGAAGGGAAGAAGCAGCCGGAGTCCTTCCTTCTGGTTGCCAATCTGGAGAGTAAAAACATTGCCGCTGTCATCACTGTGCCCCCCTGTACATGTTGCTTAGGCTGCGGCTAGGAGCGGATTGTGTAAGAGTGGTTTATCCCCAAAGACAGGCAGGGAGAGAGAAAAGGACGAGTCTGGACTAGGGAAACAGTGTCGATGCTGAATCGGTGGTGTTTCTGCCCCGGCTCCCCACCTCAGAGTCATCTCTGAGCTGTGGACTGTCCTAGAGCCCATGTATTTTAACCTAGTGATATCAGCACATGACGTGAAATGGATTGACAGGGAGAAAATTAAGAAAGTATCATCCCAACTGAACAGATGGGAAAATAGTATCAATAAGCTAAATCAAATTAGCATGAAAAATGCATCTATCATTTATCTCAAGTTGTTCCACCCATTCCCAAAGGCTAAATCCTTCTTAGGTGTGGTAGCTCATTAAAATGACAAATAAAGAGCCCCAAAGCAGCATGCAAAAGCAGCTACAGGAAACACAGATGGTTGGCATCTTTTGGTTGGCAAAGGCTGTACTACAATCACTCTTTTATTTCAGGGAAGGGTCCCAAACTAAATAATTCCAAGAAACATTCTACCACTTAATGAGTACTATTGCCACCAATTGTTTTCATGATAAAAATAATACAGGCCTTCCCCCCCCCAAACTATTTGGCTAAGAGAGTAGCAAAAAGAAAATGGTTAAAAACCCTGGGCAGGGAAAGGAAGCTATTTTCCCTTAATATTCACATTCTGTTTTAATCTTTGGCAATGAGACCAGAATGAAACTTTTAAAAGCATATTATCCATATATTCTTTCGAGCTCAAATGAGTTTTACAGATACAGAGAACTAACATTCTAGGAAATCTAGGACAAAATCCTATTAATATTCATCACTGTTCTGCAGATTATAGATGGTATCTGTGTGATTCATTAAGGTCCCTCTTTTTTTAAAAAAAGAACAAACAGATAAAGGCCACCATGACTTAGTTGGACCGATTCAACAGGGGACATCAACCTTACGTGACAATACAGGAACGAGAGGCTGGACACAGAGAGATGTCTCATGTTACAACGCAGACACATTACTCTTCTTATTCCAGGAAAAAAACTCTCCCCCTTCGCGACAAAAATGCTTCAAGCTAGGGGGACAAAAAGCAAAATGAGAAAAGCATTTATCCTTGGCATCAGTATTAGAAAATTATTATTCCAGAAGAGGTTCACATTTCCTTTCATATAACAATTAAAAAAAGGAGATATTTTGCCAAAATCCAAAAAAGCATTTAAAGGTATTTCTTTCTCTACTGGAGATTCAGGTAAAGAGGCTGGAACAGAACAGAACTGTCCAAGAGAACTAGAACACAAGCCATATACATAATTGAAAATTTTCTAGTGGCCACATTAAAAGAAGACAAAATTGGTTTTTAATATTTAATTTAACCCAATATATCCAAAATATTATCACTTAAAACATAACCAATATAAAAGTTAATAGACAGTTTACAGTTTTCATACTAAGTCTTCAAAATCTGGAACATATTTCACACTCATGGCACATCACAAAGTCAGTGAGCCGCGTTTCAAGTGTCCAATAATTCTATGTGGCTTGCTGGTACCACGCTGAGCAGCGCTGTTCTGTACTACAGAGCTTTCATTTCCATTACACTAATGATGATAGATATTTGCACTAGAGCTTTTTCAGCGGAAAGTTTGGTTACAGTGAGTTTTATCATTATAGAACCCAAAAGGATGTACATTGCAAGAGTATGGACCGCTGTTTTAATAAAAAGGTCTAAATCTTTGTGCCATTCATTATAAGCAGTACCAAGTTTTCAGTTAACATGCTTTCAAATGTCAGGGTCCTTGGTCTATTAAAAATGCTGTCCCCTGATTAGCAGGGGCCTCAGAAAAGAAGACTGCATTGTAGTTTCCTGTTCTTATACCTGTCAACCAGTTTACACACATGAAAACATGCTACTACCACAACATACTGGGTTATAGTCACATGATGGTCACATTTCATTCAGATTAAGAATTAGTCAATTATGAGTATAGGTTCAGTCCAGTCTCCTATAACTCAAATAAATCATTATGCGGGGGGTGGGTGGTGAAGTAGAAAAGAACAGCTTTATTGCTTTGCCAGGCAAAGGGGGCCACAGCGGGCTAATGCTCTCAAAACCGTGTGTTCTGCAAATTAATCATTTTTTAAATGTCCTTTTAAGTGTAACATCATTTTGGCCTATCGTTGTAAGCCTATTCTATGTTAACATAGTAAGGAAATGTGCGTATATAAACGTGCAGTCTATATAAAGATTTCCTTCTGGTTTAATTCTGTAGCAGAAAACCAAATCATGACATTAATTTCCTACCAAATAACTGGAATTGATGAGCCTTGAAATCTCTTCAGAGAAGGAACCCTTTGAGAGCATAGAGAGGTTTCCAAGGTATATCTTCTCTTGGCTGATATGCTGACAAGGTGAAAATTAGCATACAATAAAAACACACAATATCTGTGTTTAATTTTATTCTCTCCAAATAGAATAAAGTTTCACATGCTTTTTTTCATAGTTCTGGAAATAGTTTCAGAAGATTTCCACTCCAAATATGGTTTCTCTCTAATAGGTGAGCATTAACCAGGAAAAGGTTAAGTATAAAGAACTTTTAAAAATTAATAATTGAAAAAAAAAATTCACTTATTTAAAAACAAAAAAATTGAAAACACACCACCATAGAAAAAATGGTAAAAGACACAAAGGGGGATTTCCAGGAAGAAACAGTAATTCCCATAGTAAAAACATGTTCATCTTATTAGCAATCAAATATATGCAAAATGAAACCACAACGAGATACACACCTCACCTTGACAAAACTTTGAGTCTGATGATCTTAAATGTCGGTGAACATTGAGAGTACCAGAAATTCTAGTACACCAGTGGAGTGTCAGTTGGTACCATTACTTTGGAAAACAGTTTGGCCTTATCTGTTCAGGTTGACGATGTGCTTTATTGCACGTGTGACACAGCAATTCTACTCAAGGTATACATCTACTTGTGTATGTGCACCAGAAATCACATAGAAGAATGTTTGTAGCAACATTTCCTTTCTCTATTTCAAAGAAAGATGTATTTCCATATTCAGCAACAGGAGAAGGGAAAAATTGTGATATACGACAAAATAACACTTAGCAGTGAAAATAAACAAGCTAGGGCACTTGTTTCAAAATGATTATGCCCAAATGCAATGACCATAAAAAGAAGGTGACAGAAGAACAGAGTTTAATTCCATTTATTAGTTTTTAAGGATATGTACACAAAGGTAAAATAATAAAGGACAGGAAGGCTATGATCAACATGGCGTTCAGGACGGGCTCCCGCTATCAAACAGGGACGAGACAGGGTCAGGGAGGGAGCACACAGAGCCCCAAAGGAAAGGCAGGCAGCTGGTGGCAGACACACGGGGGTGTGTTTATTTTTCTTTGTATGTCAGTGTATATATTATATACGTGTGTGTGTACATATTTATTCCATTGCATGTATGAAATCATTTTAAAAATTGGACTGGTTGAAACATACAAAGAAAAAGACTATACAGCACGTTTCAGATGACAAACCATCGCTTGGAACACTGTGAACTTACCTGTTTCTCAAGTCACTGCCACTGTCACTGCTGCTAATGCTTCTCCATTTCTCTCCTCTTTGAGGGTGGAGACTATTGTCCTGCTCAGACAGTCCCTGTCACATTCTAGGGGTTCAACACATGCCGATTAATGGGATGACCAAACTAACCTGGCCTGTATTTCTAGAAAACTAGGAAAACTTTGAAAATCTGGGTTACAAGTGGGCGGGGATTACTTGGCTTCTTTGGCTTCACAATTTAGCGCATTTCTGGAAACTGACGGCCTGTTCTCTTTATCTCCTCCTTCACCCTCCCTCATCTTGGTGTTTAAGTTAGAAATAGTTCAGCGATGGGCTTAACCTCAGATGCTGCCTTCAGAGGTGTCTGCAGCAAAGGCAGCCCTGCTATTAAGGGTTGTGGCTACACTGTACTTTTCTCCTGCACGAAATTAGGGAAGGGAATCCACAGCCCATCGCTTCATTGTACTCAGGAAGCCACCATCATCTATTTGAACCAACCAGGGGATGAGTGATTTAACGCCACCCTTCGTCCTGGTCACTGTCTGAGATGATCCTGCAGTCAGCTCCAACACACACACACACACACACACACACACACACGTGTGTCTCCTCAAGTACTCAAATGATCCATCTGCATTTTTACAACGAATCTGCAGCTTTCAGGTATGGGGTTCACGATGGGAGCAGAAATACAGCATCCCAGCTAAACAAGAAGGTTTCAACCAAACACAGAAGCAAAATTAGAAAAGGTGTAAGAAATGGTCGGGAACAAGCACTCCATTTTCAGAATATGTGTTTTCTGTAATTTATTCCTCTTTAATGCTGAATATAAAATCTGAGATTTCACCAATGCCTTTAGAGACAAATAAATGCATACAAATGGAAATCTAAACACAATAATTTTGCAGATCAAAGTGGGCTCTGACACTTCAGAAAAGAGGTAAGCATTTCTAGAAAAAGCAAAACCCTATACAGCAAAATCAAATTAAAAAACAAAACAAAACAAACCAGAAAGAGGCTTTGGTACCTTTCAACAAGGAAGGACAAAAATAAGTTTAGTTCTTTATTAAATTCATGTAATATAAAAACATCTATGTGGGAGTGTTGAATAAATCTATAAAACAGAAACAAATCTAAAATATATTAGAGCCTGAGAGAAAAAAAAACCCTCCTTTTCTCCTTTGTGATTTTAATAGAATAACAGAATGTGGAAAAACAAGTACTTCCCCAACTAAATTTTCTTCTGGTCTGCATATACCTAGCAGGATGGCACTCTCTGTATTTTATCTCATTTTAAAATGGGATAATTTGATTTTTAGCAGCACATTTTCTTTGCCCCAACAAGCCTACTACAGGAAATAAAAATTCTGTCTTAAAATGCTTTTGATATTACATCTATGTCTGCAATTCCCATCCACTTCTTTCCTAGATTTTTAAGACTATGATTATTCAGATCTAAAGGCAGCTAGTTAAAGAAGGGATGAAGGGCTTCCCTGGTGGCGCGCTGGTTGAGATTCCCCCTGCCGATGCTGGGGACAGGGGTTCGTGTCCCGGTCCGGGAGGATCCCACATGCCACGGAGCGGCTATGCCCGTGAGCCATGGCCGCTGAGCCTGCGCGTCCGGAGCCTGCGCTCCGCAACGGGAGAGGCCACAACAGTGAGAGGCCCACGTACCGTAAAAAAACAAAACAAAACAAAACAAAACAAAAAAAGAAGGGATGAAGAAAACCATTACAGGTTTGGAATTCAGCTGGTAAAACACAAGTAAGGACACAGTGCGGTCCCAGAGGGCAATACCTTAGGACTCTGCAGAGCCTGGGTACTGAGGGAAATGCCACACAATGTGCTTCTAGCTCGCTCATAACAAGTACAATACCAGTTGAAGCTGGTCTCTCCTATTTCTTTGCTGCTCCAAAAAGAAAAAAAAAGAAAGAAAATGTGGGGTGTGGTAGATGATCTGTAACTGTGGTAAATAATTTAGCACTCCTATTCATCTAGTCTGTTTAGGACAACCATACTGGGCCTACTACAACCAGAGTAATTCAGAAGTTTTGAGACAAACAATTCTGAGTAGCTTTCTTGGTCTAGCAGGTATTGAATTGATCCTACAACCCCAAGACTCAATCTTACCAAGTTGCTTCTTGGTAGTCACTGGCAAGAGTAGACAAAATGTAAGTTAGACCATTGCAATGTTAACTTTTAAAAACTGCTGTATCTTAAAAAGAAATTCTAAGTCTTCTTAGACTTTAACACGATATCCAGTTCAAAAACATTTCCTGGTTAGTCCCTGGGATTTAGCAAGTGGAATTTGACCTGGATCGTATTTAATGCCAACTAAGCAGTCATAGCCGTGATTTTACAGCAGCTTTCCTTGCAGAGAAAATTGTGGATTATGTATCTGTTCCAGTCATGTAGGAATCAGTGGCATGCTTTCCTTCTGGTTGTAGTCCTGGGATGCAAATCTCAGGCTGGGATGTCAGCTTTAGCATTCAACAGGTTCTTTACAATAGTCCACATTTAGCAAGTTGGAGGGAGAGAGAACACAGGTGACAGGGACTAAATTCTTCTGTTTTTTCCATTTCTTACAAACTTCCTGCTCAGAATCAAAAGGGCAGGTCCACCATCAGGACACTGAGAATAGCAGAATATCTTAGGCAACACTCTGAATTTATTCTATTCAAGACTATTCCCAGGTTTGGCAACTAAAAACTCTAAAAAAATGTGAGCAGGGACAAGGATGCAGAAAAGAAGCCTTTGCCCTAATGAAGTCGACGGGTTCAGTGTTTGTCAGCACCCACTCCAAAGGAAGGAGAGATTTCACATGCCAAGTACAATTCAGAGTGAGTCTCTGACAGCCCCTTTCTCGTATGTACTCTGTTCTGAAAAATCACTGGTGTTCACATATGGAATGAGAACATGTATCTATGTTACTCTGAAAATCCGGAACTGTGCACTGGCCAGAAATATGAGCTGGCAGTGTCAGAGGACCAATGAAAAGTAACACAGGAAAAAAATTAAAGTGTGCAGCAATATTAGTATCTTTTAATATGCCTCATCAAGGGTTCACAAAATATATCTAGCTGAGATCTTCCTTTCTCGAAAAATACAATCCCTTTGCAAAATATATAAGCAGCTATTAGTTGGGGGAGCTGCGTTTAAAAATATACGTGCACTTACGCATAATAAGTTGCTAGAGCTGAAATGCCTTCAGGTACGAGTGAGATAATGTCCCTATGAATTAACTATCAGTGCACCTCTTTAAATATATCTTTTAAGTCATCTTACACATTAGGTGAAACTTTTCCTTTGTAAGAGATAAAGAAGCATTTTTTTTTCCAAATAGCAATTCTTTTCATCCCTGTCACTTGGTTCTGATCACACATTGTTGCAACAGTGATTTCTGGAAACATCTGTAGGGGTTTGGAGGATTTATGGGGGTAAGAATTTCCATTACCGAAAGGAGGCTAGAACACCTAACTTTTTCTACAGTTATGACAAAGCACTGGAATAGTGATGCTCGTGAATCTGCAGCAAAGATCTTTAGCCCTTTGTCAACCAACATTGCTTTTTTTTCCTTTCTGATCAGAATATTCTAAGAGCCTGGCAGACTAATTTCAAGGACACCACCTAGGCAGCCTGAAGAGAAGCAGGTCTGAGCAATCCTGGCATCAACTACAACCCAGGGCAGATCCAGTATTTTCTCTCTGATGGTGCCACCTGCTTATCACTCAGTTATTCAGGAGGCACACCTGTAACAGGTGACAGTACCTCCGGGTGAGTGAGGCAACTGCAGGCAATTCTGAAAACAAGGAAAAAACCCACCACGGTCCTGATTTGGTTTAAAGCACTCATGCAATCCCATTAGACCCACGTCTTCCCAAAACACCTTTTCCATGGCAAGCAAAGTTACTGATAATGCACGTGGCTTCTGTCACAGTGATGCATTAGGTAAGCAGGTGTGTGCTGAGTACCAGGGGCGCTCCAAAATGCATCTCCGTCCTCTTCCGCTTGTCTTTGCTAAGGTTCTGCCTATTTATTTAAAAAAAAAAAAAAAAGCCAGTTATTGCATTGTGTGGGCAAGAAATTTCACCCTGGCGGTGATATTTTAAATGTCAGGAACAGAGATGTTGGAAATCACCGCCATGTGATGGGTCAGAGCAAATAAATCCTGGGTTCAGGGATCAGAGCCCAGAGTTAAGTCACACCCACCTGACCTGCCAAATATAAAAGTGGAAAGAAAGCCACATGTTTTCAACAACTGAGGAAACTCCTCTGAGGTACTGTTCCACTCACACCTGGGTGAGTGGCGTGGCCGGGGGTTACCTTACTCAGGGGCCCTGCGGAGGGTGACCTGAGGGGACGAACGGCACTGGAATGGCCCATACCTATTGGTAAATAGCTGATACCCCTCTCCCCCAAGTGCTACCATGATCCAGCCACTGGATGGCTGACCCCTGGCATCGGCTGGGAGTGGGCCTCTGAGACCTGCTCCCCGGCTGGTCAGTGCTCAAGGTTTACTGGTGGTTGCGTATTTTCAATATCACCCCTGAATGGCAGGGATCCGAAAGCAGAAACTTCCATTTCAGGCTCTGCTTTGAATCTGTTACGATAAGAAGACTGATGATTTTCTACCTGAAAAGTATTGGTGAAAAGGCCTTCTTTTCTTTTCGGTAGGTACCACGCTGGGCTCCAGCTGGCCACAGAAGGATGTGGGACCCCCTCCACCCCCCACCAGGGCTGCAACAATTCAAATTCTGGAGAAAAGTGGGAAATCTGTATTTTAAGTATCAGCAACCCACCTGAAGTCTTTAAAAAAGAGTCCATGCAGGACAAACACATCCAGAACCTATGTGGCCTGCAGGCCGCTCTTCCGTGGTCTCCTACCCGCCTCTGCCCCATCCACTTTGGAGAACTGCCCAGGGTCTAGAGTTGGGTCTGTGAATGTTCTTTTCCTACGGACCTTCTCTCCCCTCACTGTGCGAGAGCAATTAGATGCTAATGGAGTCTTTATACGTCCCCTGGCGGGCTTGCTCGCCTGGTCTTTCGTGTGTGTACTGCAGAGAGGGTAGGAAAGGAGACAGGAAAGGGGGCTCCATCTTTTGGTACATTACACCCGTGAATGCTCCGTCTAGGCCTTAGAGGGTAGACTGTATAATGAATTACTACCAAGGTACAAAGTGACTAACTAGAAAGGGGGAAAATGCTGACTCGCTCTTAAAGATATTTGCACTTCTTTCCTACGGAGGTGAAGTATGAGTTGCTATTAACCCTTAAGGCCCTGAATGGCTCACGAGAGGGGATGGCACACACACTGGCACCGTGGCCTTCCACTCTGGTTCCGTGGGCCCCTGCTCTTGTCTGACTGACTCAGGTGCCTGAAAGCGGGGGGCTGAATGGGTGGAGGTGCCTAGCGCCCTCACTGACCATGGAATGGTCTCCTGCAATCAAGCAAACCTCAATGGCATCAAGACCAACTCCCATGACCGTTAAGTCATGTGAGAATGCATATCCTACAGGTCATAGGTTTCCTGAGAAATTTCTAAGAGAATAAATATTTTCAAAGAGTAAAAAAGTCAGCCCGAAGCCTCTCAAAGGAACCTACATCTTCAGGGAAAATGAGAACAAAGATGGCAAGCACGCAGTATTTTTCAAAGGTTCTTGCACAGATGCTGGTGTCCGCTGGATTTATGCATCTGTTAGACTGCTCCTACCCCAGTTTATTCCAGTTCTCTGAAGATAAATCTGGATGGTTTACATGTCTTTGCACGAAACATGTTACAAAAATACTTTCATTTTCCTAAGTATTCCAGTGTTCCATCTTTATAAAGATAGTTTTAAGAGCCTTTAAGGGTTTTCTGTGTGGGTTTTGTCTCTGTTTAAAACATGTGCACAGAAACCACCCACAAGCATCTGTGGACTTACTGATGTATAACAAAGCATGATTTCACATCGGCGAGGAACTACAGGTGCTGTTGTATAATTTTTATTATTGATAGTCTCTCTCTGTCTTCCTCCCACAAGTGTTCCAGAAACGGCACAAATCCTGGGTAGCCTCAAAAGACCTATTACTTACAGATATCAAAGTTCCCAGCAATGTACTTTCATTTCAATTCAGTGTTACAAACAGAAGCTTTAGAATTCAGTTTCAATTTGAAATACAGTCAAAACCTCAATTGCTATGTATATAAAGATTGCAAGGAAATACACCAAAGATGTTTATGTGGTTTTCTCTGGTGACTTTTTATTTTCTACTTTGTACTTTTTTGCATTTTCCCAATTTTTCTACATGAGCCTAGGCTACTTTCATAATCAGAAAAAAATAGTATTTCTGAAGTGGAAATAACAATCAAAATACTGCCTTATTTAATAAAGAAATGTTATTTTTTATTTTGAAAGTGAATCCATGTGCTTCACAAAGTTACCATAATATATATCATCTATAGCTCTAAATATTAGAAAAGTTTGAGCCTTTTACATTTGCTAAAAGACATATGACATAATAAAGTGGCTTCAAAAACACTCTGATTAGTTTAGGAATTGCCCTTTTTTTCAAGGTTGACCATTTGTTATTGCAAACCACGTCCCTTCCAATGTAAACGACTTAAGTTGCAGACGACCTTAAAAACATGGCTTTGATTCTATTTCAAAAAATGTAAAGTAATGTGAACTTGCACTTTAAAATAAAAAGCACCTACTGTTTTTTGCTACCTTAAATTTTTCTTGGAAGAAGGAGATATAAATTATAAATAAACTGAATTTTAAATAAAGATAAACTCTAATATACAGCAACAATTGAAAATGGGAAAGAAAAAAAACTGGCTTCCTTGTGTGTCTTTATTTACCGTGAGCAGTCCTAACTGTGTATTTGAGAAAGCAAAAACTGAAAATTTAGGAGACTAGATATGCACTCCTTCAACCTCAATCCCTAAGAACAACTCAAGAAAGATACATTTTACAACAAGAAAAGATTGACCTACCTTTGATGCCAACTGTGATTTGAGGCCTAAGAATGAAAAGACTGTGTTGCTTTCCTTGGATTCAAAGAAACTGTCATAATCCTAGAAAAAAGAGGAGGAGAAAATAAACAAAAGCAAACGATTGTCTTTGTATTTGGTGCTGTTGACAAAGTCTCTACGTAGATAAAAAAATGTACCACTACTCCATCCAGGCCAGGGAAAAGCTACATAAATCTACTGGATTTGCTCTGTTTGAGCCTCAACATTTGAGCATGATGATGAAGGTAACAACTTTTTAATCCAAAGTCTGTGGCAGGATTAAAATGTAAAACATTGAGGACAGAAACCAAATCAGAACATGCTCCCTCGAGTGTCAAACTAACATTTCTTTGTGTGGAGTCACTCTGACCTAAGGTTTTACTTAAGCATTTCAATCTGGAAGGCTGCCTCCCAATTCCACTCTTGATACTTTGTTACCTAGGGCTTAAAACAAAACAAAAAAATCACTGTGTAAACAGAAAAGCCATAAAGGTCTCCGTGTGTCAAAGTTGAGCGCTTCTATTCTGCTTTTGAAGTTTTCCACATTCCTTGAGGCTGTCTTCAGAGAGAATAAAAAGATCAAACAGAAACTAGAGGGAACTATATTCTCTATAACATTTATCTTTATGTCACAGGATCATTTTTCTCCTCCTTCTTTCAGGAGAGAAGCCATTAAGGAATTCTGGCCAACGTGTTCATCAGTTGTTTTCTTTTCAAAAGCTTGCACGTGTTAATACTATTGGACATAGTTGCTAAGGCGGTGTGAAGCAGCCTTAAAATTGGAGAGAAATCCCTTGGATAATTTTAGGCAGAGGGTAAATATCACAGGCAGACAATGATCAGAATCACCTGTAGGCAACTGCTTTGTGCTTAGCGCCAGATCATCAGCACATCCTTTAATCCCAGCTACCGCCCACCAGGTTAGAGACTCGCGCAGAGCAAAATACGGTACCCAAGTTTGACAGCTGATAGGCACCAAAGCTGAGATTTGGGCCCAAGTGTCACTGGTGTTGAAATCAATGCTTTTTGTAGGCTATGATGCTTCTTGCCCAAGAGGAAACCAGGTATGGGGTACCCTGTATATCAGAGTCACTGAGCCCTCACGAACCCACTGCTGAGCTGGGTCAATAGCATGACAAATACTTTTGAAACCTGTTTAGGAATCTAAACGAGAGTGGATGACTTAGAGTGGAGATCTGCTTCTTGCAAAGCAGGCCTCAGCTGAAGAAAAATCTTTGAATTATTTGACTCTGTGTAGAGATTCCCTTGTCCAAGTGCTTTAGCAAGTTGAGCCTCGTGTGGTTTGAAGGCAGCTTGACTGCAGTTCCCGGTCATCTCAGCCTCAGGCCTTGCGGGCACTGCTCCCGATCCTGAAGCGTCACTCTTGCTGTCATTTCGGGTCAGCCCTGAGGCCAGTCACCTGCAAAGGGAGGCCTTCCTTGACCATGCCGAGAAGAAGCAACACATCTGAAGGGGGTGGGGGGGCTCAGCAAATACCTCCTTGGAAAATGGCATTTTAGGCTGAAATGTGAAGAATGAATAGAATTGACCAAGTAAAGGGTTGGGATAGGAGCCTCTGAGACGGGAAACAGCACTGGGGAAGAGCAGAGCTGGCAGATGTGACCGGGATCAGCAATGTACCAGACTCTGTAAACCAAAAAAACGATTTTGAATTTTATCTTAAGTACAAAAGGAAATCACGGACGGGTTCTGAGCAAGGGAGCAGAATGACCTATTTCCTTTAAGAAAATCTCCAGGTTGACTGCGTGGGGAATGGCTCAGAGAGAGGGCAGCAAGAAGAGAAGCAGGGACAAGGGTTAGGAGTGCACTGGGGGAATTCAGATAAGAGACGGAGGCAGCCTGAACCAGAGCCACTGTCATAAATACAGGATAGGACAGACTGGAGATATATTTTGGAGGATTGATCATACTCAATTGTGTAATTGGTGTAGAGGGTTAGGGAGAATTAAGAATTAAAGCAGCTCTCGGGCTTCTCTCGGGATTTCCTGGTGGCGCAGTGGTTGACAGTCCGTCTGCCGATGCAGGGGACACGGGTTCGTGCCCCGGTCCGGGAAGATCCCACATGCTGCGGAGCGGCTGGGCCCGTGAGCCACGGCCGCTGAGCCTGCACGTCCGGAGCCTGTGCTCCGCAACGGGAGAGGCCACAACAGTGAGAGGCCCGCGTACTGCCCCCCCCGCCAAAAAAAAAAGAATTAAAGCAGCTCTCGTACAACTCATCATCAAAAAACAAACAACCCAATTAAAAAGAGGTCAGAGGACCTGAATAAAACTTTTTCCAAAGAAGACATACAGACGGCCAACAGACACATGAAAAGATGTCCAACGTCGCTAATCATCAGGGAAAGGCAAATGGAAATCACAATGAGAGATCACCTCACGCCTGTCAGAATGGCCATCATCTAAAAGACCACAAATAACAAATGTGGTCGAGGGTGTGGAGGAAAGGAGCCCTCATGCACTGTTGTGGGAATGTAAATTAGTGCAGCCACTGTGCAGGACAGTGTGAAGAGTCCTCAGAAAACTAAAAATAGAACTACCATATCACCCAGCAATTCCACTCCTGGGCATATATCCGAAGAAAACGAAAACATTAATTCAAAAAGATTTATGCACCCCAATGTTCACTGCAGCATTATTTACAACAGCCAAGATATGGCAGCAACTTAAGTGTCCATATCAACAGATGAATGGATAAAGAAGATGTGGTATGTATACACCATGGAATATTACTCAGCCATAAAAAAGAATGACATTTTTTCCATTGGACTTGCAGGGTATTATGCTTAATGAAATAAGACAGAGAAAGACAAATACTGTATGATATCACTTATATGTGGAATCTAAAAAATAAAACAAACTAGTGATTATAGCAGAAAAGAAACAGACTCACAGACATAGAGAAAAAACTAGTTGTTACCAGTGGGGAGAGGGAAGGGGGAGGGGTAAGGTAGGGGTAGGGGATAAAGAGGTACAAACTACTATGTATTATAAAATAAATAAGCTACAAGGATATATTGTACAGCACAGGGAATATAGCCAATATTTTATAATAGCTATAAATGGAGCATAACCTTTAAAAATTGTGAATCACTACGTTGTACACCTGAAACATTGTAAAAACTATACCGCAATTAAAAATTTTTTGGAAAAAAAATTTAAAGCAGCTCTGAGCTTTGTGACTTGATGGGAAAGACCAGAGAAAAAGCAGGTTTGAGGGTAAGGTTGGAGTTGAGTTTTAAAATGTTAAGTTTGAGAAACTGTATGAGACACTGAGTGAAGACGATCTCAATGGGGCAGTTGGAGGTTCCGACTGACTCTAGGTATTACAGATTTCATAGAAACTTATGGAAAATTGTATAACTTTTAATAAGAAAAACTATGTCTCAATTTGATGTAGAATTTTAGGCAAAATCCCATGAACTGAAAATGTTACCACTATTCTTTGTAACAAAGACAGTTCCAAATAATTGAGTAGCATTTCATTGACCTGGGCTCAAGAAATAACCCTGTTTGACCCACACTTTCTCTATCTGATCGTTTGTTGCTTATATTCAATGTGGTAACAAAAGGAAGACAGCTGAATTACAGCCAGCTTATCTCACCCTTTTAGATATCCACCATATGAAAACTGGTGTACCTGTTTCTCTCTACACCATATTCTGCCACTACTCGGTCTAAATTCTTTCCCTAGGGAATCTCAATCGCAGCCACGGCTCTAATTAAACTCAGATCCCCAGCTCTGATTCTCCTCTCAATTCTGGTTCCATGTAAGCAACTAACCGTTCATAACAGACTATTAAACATAATGGGTCTAAATCGCAATTCATGCTTTTCCTTCCACCCCTTCCACAAGCTGGACCTCTCAGAAGACTGGCACCACCATCGAACGGGCTCTACCAGGCAGAAATCAAGCAGCATAGGACTCCTCTCTTCCCTCAACCAATAACTATCTCACATATCCCTTCAACCTCTCTGTTTTTCTACATCAGTCTCATTGCCCTAATCCAAGCTAGATATCTGCAACGGCACCTCAACATACCAACCCCTCTCCAGTCTACCCTATCTCCCCCCAACCCCCGAATCATGCTCAAGTGAGGACAGACTGATCCTTTAAAAATGCAAATTTGATCATATCATCCTCTTCTTAAGTCCTTTCCTTCAAGACTTCTCATTGCTCCTTGGGGGAGAAGAGGGGCCTTGAACTTCTACCTGCACCAACCACTGTCTGGGTCACAGCCTCACTTCCGGGAAACTGAGTGGTACATACACTCAGTCAACTACAGATGAGATGTCCAGCAATCTACTAGCTGAGTTATGACCTTGACCAACTCCTTTAACCTCCTCAGACTGCTTCTTCCTTTCTGTTATCAGATACGACCAAAGTCCCTTGAAGTTCCAGAATTCTAAAAAATAATGGAGCATTCAGTGGAGTTGCTCTTAAAGGGGCTGTTAGCTGTGTCCAGATGTGAAGTCCAGCCTATGTATTCCAGTCCCTAGTGATACCTGTTTGAAGAGCTTACCTCTCTCTGAACAGGAAACAGGTTTAACCAAATAGGAAAGGGAAAGGGCAAAAGTGAGAGAAAAAAAACTAAGGACTAGTCAACAAAATGTCGTCCCTGTTCTTGAATTCTGAAAGGGCTTTACCTATTTCTACCTGATAGATAATCTCTGATGTCAGTGTGAAAACGCAAGAATGAGAAAACTAATAATATAAGAAATAAAAAATGAGAAACAGTGCCTGACTCAATGTCTATAAATGCAGTGTGAATTTTACTTTAAAGACAGAAGTGCTGGGACTTCCCTGATGGTCCAGTGGTTAAGACTCCACACTCCCAATGCAGGGGGCATGGGTTCGAACCCTGGTGCGGGAACTAAGATCCTGCATGCCGTGCGGCGAGGCCAAAAAAAAACAGAAACAAAAACAAAACAACAAAAAAGGAAGTGCTAACATGAAAGTACAGTGCATGCAAAAGATCAAAAGGCAAGTTACGAGACTTAATATGTATAATTCAGGTTGCAGTGTTTATATTAAAAACCTTAAT